TTGGCCTTTTATTTAAACAAAAAAACTTGCCGGTGGCGCATAAAATTTGGTCAAAATGGGGGTATTTATAGTGATTTGGGAGAGCTCAGAAAATCAATTTGGTCGACCTAGAAAAGTTCGACGAAGTTTTGTATTTTTTTTGAATACCCGCCCCCCTTCCTCGAGAAATCCTGATTAGGGGGTCGGGAAATTAGCGTACAAACAAATTAGACAATCACAAAAAAAATACTTAAGCAAAAACTTGCTTGCTTTTTGGCGTGAAAATTATTTACAAGTTTAAATTACCTTTAAGTTGAATAAACAAAGGTCGCCCAACAGCAAATCAGGTTAATAAAAGTCATCTGCATAATTTCTATATTTTAAAAATATAAATTGCGATTTCGATTTGAAGTTTTTTTTAATAAAGTGATTAGGATAAATTTGATCGGTTCTGTAATAGTATACTCTTTTTTTTTGGTGCAAAACAATTTAGCATGGCAGCTAATCAACCCGATCGAAATCAATTTAATCTAAACTAAAACAAGCTGCTGAATGAAATAAATACTTCTCTTGAAAAAATTTATTTATCAAATTAGTGTAGTTTTTTCTGCCTGTGATATAAGGATTTGAAGTAAAAGTATAGCTTAAGCTGGTTAGAAATTATAGTATTGTAGACATTTTGGACTAAAAATTGTGTAGAAAATGACCAGAAAAACTTTTAAAAAATGAAAAAAAAATTCCTTGATTGTTTTGAAATTTTTATTTCCCAACATGAAGCAAAAAAAACTACTTTTATTCAAAATTCTAGCTGAAAATTTAGTTTTAAGTTCTTCAATTAGGCATATTTTAGCTGTTGCAAGCCTGTTCGCTTGCTTTATTCGCTCGAAGTAAGACGAAATATCAAAACTTTTAAACCGGTTTTTCTCGACACTGAGAAAATTTTTGGAAATTTTTTAATGTGGTTCGAATCACGACCGAAAGGGTGTCAATATGGTATATCACTTAACTCAGTCCGATGATTATTGGTGTTACCTGATTTTGCGTGAAAAAAAACTAAAACACACCCTAATACAAAGTTCCTCACGATTTTCAATTGTCGGGAACAATTAGCTACATTAAAATTTAGCAAAGTAAATTTCTTCTGAACATTGATTAACATGCAACATAAATATAACCAGTCCTACTATCAGAGGTTTCATTTTTGGCCTTGAGTCGTTTTGATGACAACAGG